AGGCAGGATAACACAATTAGCATGCAGCTGTATCCAAACGCGCTGCTCTGAGGGATCACATGGACAAGTGCAGCCCAGGGTATAAGTGCCCTCAGGGAGTTCCACAGACGTCATTGGATCATATATTGCCAACGTGGGGATTGCCACCGTTGCGATCGCAGCATTTGTGCGTGGGTGACAACCTGCGAGCAGACGTTCCAGCCGCCGTCGAGAGATATCGGTCGTATTCTGTTGGCCACATCTCCGTTGGAGAGTTGTGACATTAGTACAAATGCAGGCTGCGCAGAGGCGGCAAAATACCCCGCAGATGTGGATAAGAGTGAGGGGGCGGTGGAGACGCCGGCAGTCTGCGAGACTCTGGACACGCCCGCCGCAGGCGCCGAAGTTTCACACATTAAACAACGAGCCCGCCGCAGGCGCCGATTTTTCCGTTAAACAAATGCGGGTGGGTCGCAAATGGGTCGCAGCTGGGTCGCGGTTGGGTCGCGGGGTGGGTCGTGGGGTGGGTCGCGGGTGGGTCGCGGGGTGGGTCGCGGGTGGGTCGCGGGGTGGGTCGCGGGTGGGTCGCGGGTGGGTCGCGGGGTGGGTCGCGGGGTGGGTCGCGGATGGGTCGCGGGGTGGGTTGCGGGTGGGTCGCTGGGTGTGTTGCGGGTGGGTCGCGAGTGGGTCGCGGGTGGGTCGCGGGGGGGATCGTGGGTGGGTCGCAGGTTGTGTCGCGGGGTGGGTCGCGGGGTGGGTCGCCCGTTGGGTCGCGAAGTGGGTCGCGGGGTGGTTCGCGGGGTATGTCGCGGGTGGGTCGCGGGTGGGACGACGACAACAAACAACAACAACAACAACAACAACAACAACAACAACAACAACAACAATTACTAGCACGTGGGGACACACCATTCTCACCAGTGCCAGGGTTTTCATGGGACGCCGGCCAATACCCCCACTTTGTGGGGGGGCAGTTCAAGCTCTCCCAAATTTCCAAACGACTCTTCGCGACCACCCACACCCAGCTTCCCGCCCTATGACGTTCGGACACTTCACTTCGTGGCATGCGGACGACCTTGGCTACTACACTGGCGCATGGGTACAGTGACTTGTTGTGGTAACATTTTCTGGAATTGTTGGGTGAGAAAGTGGTGTGTTTTCATATGTTTTCTTGACATCGCATCTTGAAATTGTTGAAATCACAGTGTGTTTGGCAGAATTTCGAGGTGCGCGCGCGGCGGCCGCGCGCATGTGCCCCGCGTGTCATTTTTTGCAAGGGATGGTGGCCCTCGCAGGCGCGCAGACGTTGTTGAAGCAGTTCGAGGTGAGCGCAAAAGTTGCCCGCGAAGCCCCGTTTGATAGGAATGTTGAAAAACCATTGGTTTTGGAAGGATTCAGCATGCGTGCGGGGGCAGATTTTCAGAATTTGTTGATGAGAAAGTGGTGTGTTTTCATATGTTTCCTTGACATCGCATCTTGAAATTGTTGAAACCACAGTGTGTTTGGAAGGATTTCGACATGCGCGCGCGGCGGCCGCGGCGATGTGCACTTCGGGGCCTTTTTGTGAATGGATTCTTGAAATGTGGTTATGTTAGAACAAGAAATGTAATTTTATATTGTTTTTTGCAAGGGAAAGCGGGGGGGGAACAAAACAACCGGATCTGGATCACATCGTTTTGTCAAGGGCTTTCGTTCGAAAATGATGAAAACAAGGTTGCGGCCGAGATAAAACGGGGGGGTCGCGCACCAGGGGTCCCAACAATAATATTTCTTTAGAAGCAATAACATTCAACAACAACAACAACAACAACAACAACAACAACAACAACAACAACAACAACAACAACAACAATTACTAGCACGTGGGGACACTCCGTTCTCACCAGTGCCAGGGTTTTCATAGGAGGCGGGCAATACCCCCACTTTGTGGGGGGGCCGGTTCAAGCTCTACCAAATTTCCAAACGACTCTTCGCCACCACCCACACCCAGCTTCCCGCCCTATGACGTTCGGACACTTCACTTCGTGGCATGCGGACGACCGTGGCTACTATTCAGGGCCCCGCGGCCGACGACGACGGCGTGCGCGCGCGAAGAAAAAACGAATGTGTCCCGCATGGTATTATTTGACAGGGATGATGGCCCTGGCAGGTGCGCAACCGTTGTCGCAGAAGTTCGAAAAAGTTGCTCGCAAAAGCCCGTTTGACAGAAATGTTTAAAAAGTGTTGGGTTTCCTACGAATCCGCAAGAGCGCGCGGGATGAGATTTTGACATTTTTTTGTTGAAAAACCATTGGTTTTTTGATGTTTTTATGTTAAAATCGCTGCGAACACTAAGGTTTTGGAAGGATTTCGTCTTGCGCGCGCGAATGTCCACTTTACCTCATTTTTTGCAAGGGATTCTTGAAATTTGATTATATTAGAACAAGAAATGTCATTTTCTATTGTTTTTTGCAAGGGAAAGCTGATTACAACAAAACAACCGGATCCTGTACACACCCTCTTTTCTGAGGCTTCCTCACGAAAACGATGAAAATGTAGCTGCGGCCTAGGCGGCGCAGGGGGGGCGCGCACCAGGGGGCCCAACAATAATTATTCTTTAGAATAAATAATGTTCAACAACAACCATTTTAAGGCTGTACGCTCTTACTTGCCCGCGAGTCGTTCAACACGTATACCCTACACCCTCGATACCCGCCCTCTTCGTCTTCGATCACACCCTTTTCGGGGGGATTATTTCTCTTTGCTGGGGCCGGCGGGCTTAGACGTACGGGCAAACCGGAACGGGCGGACAATCCTTCGGGGGCGTACATCTCTCTGCCCGCCATTGGAATTGGCGCGGGCCCTGCAAGAGGAGGAGGGGAAGAACGAGGGAGAGTGGGAGGAAGGGGAGGGGGAAGGACGAAGGAAGAGGGAAGATACCACGTTGTGAAGGCGTCCTTGGCGCGTGCGTGGTTCCTGAGCGCCGAAACGCAATTCCAGAATAATTTGTGAGGACGTCGCACGCGAGAACGCAGTCCTGAGTACATTGTGAGGAAATCTCGGGCGGGAGCGGGGGCCCTGACTAAGTTGCGAGGAAGTCTCAAGCGGGAGCGCCGTTCCTGAGCAAATTGCACGGAAGTCTCAGTGTTCTCGAGCAGCAAATTGCACGGAAGTCTCAGGCTGGAGCGGGGGTCCTCACTAAATTGCGAGGAAGTCTCAGGCGGGAGCGCCGTTCCTGAGTCTTTTGCGCGGAAATGTCAGGCAGGAGCGGGGGTCCTGAGTACAATTCGAAGAAGTCTCAGGCGGGAGCGCCGTTCCCACGTAAATTGCACGGAAGTCTCAGGCGGGAGCGGGGGTCTTGATTACATTGCGAGGAAGTCTCAGACGGGAGCGCCTTTCCTGAGTAAATTGCGCGGAAGTCTCAGGCGGGAGCGGGGGTCCTGAGTAAAAATCGAGGAAGTCTCAGACGGGAGCCGTTGTTGTTGTAGCCCGGGGGGCAGGGGCACAGTTTGAGCAGGAAGACTTTCCTTGAGAAAAAACCAGGTGCGAGCCCCGGGGGTGGCACTTCAATCGAAAAAAATAAATGTGCACCGGTGGGGGGGGATCAACAATAATTATTCTTCAAGAATGAGAGTTCAACAACAACAACAACAACAACAACAACAACAACAACAACAACAACAACAACAACAACAACAACGCAACAACGCAACTAGCAGAATCCTCACGTTGGATCCCCACTTCAGCCACGCACCCTGGGACAACGAATGACCGTTCGGCCCCCTCACTCTGATGTATGGCCCCGTCATTCTTGAAGAATGGCCGTAACCAGCAGAGGTGGGACAACTCTTGCCAGCAACGGCAACCTTAGTACTGCTCGAAGCCCAACAGGCGCGGCATCTGCAGCGCTTCAGGCGCCGGTCCAAAATCATCTGGGTAGAAAACCTCGGGGAGGGGCAGCTGCAGAGAGCGTGGCTGAGAGAGGAGCCTCACTCGCTGGTCCCTGTGTGCCTTTAAGTAGCATGGCCAATGCTGAAGGCACCCAACCGATGCACCCGCCCAAGATGGCGACAACTTCTCGTGATCGCTTTAGCCTAACAAGAGAGGCCGCATCGCAAGGATGCATGGCCGCCCCTTTCTTAGCGTCCTCCTCAACGACCTTGTTAGCCCTGGTGCAAACCACCGGGTGCCGCTCGTCCTGCTCAGACAGGTGGGAGACAACCTTATGAAGAGATATGTTCTGATATCCGATATCTTCTGCAGCATTGCGAACCCGAGTCCACAGATCAGAGAGCACAGCCCAACCACTTGTGGATGCTAACCGAGGGAGGGCGAAGGTATCTAAGACACTGGCAGTCGCCATAATAATGGTACTGCCCTCTTTCTTCGGGCACTGCGTGCTGCGTGCAGCAAGAAGGCAAGGAATGCAAGGGCCTCTGCTGCAGCAACTGCCTGAACCAGCCAGGGAGGGGGGAGAAGGGAGGAGGGAGGAAGAGGAGGAGGAGGAGGAGGAAGAGGAGGAGGAGGAGGAGGAGGAAGAGGAGGAGGAGGAGGAGGCAGCAGGGAGGAGGAGAAGGAAGAGGAGGAGGAGGAGGCAGGAGGGAGGAGGAGGAGGAGGAAAAGGGAGGAGGAGAAGGAAGAGGAGGGAGGAGGAGGAAGGAGGGAGGAGGGAGGAGCAGGAGGAGGCGTAGGAGTAGGAGGAGGAGGACAGGGAGGAGGAGGAGGAGGAGGAGGAGAAGAAGAAGGAGGGAGGAAGGAGGAGGAGGACCAGTGTAAACCCAAGACCACATTTTGAAAACGACCTGCCCTCAACCGCGAAATTGCAGCAAATATAAAGCTCCAGGATCAGAAATGGTGGGGAAGTCTCAGGCGAAACGCTCGGCCCGCCCTACCGACACGCGTGTGGGTGACAGGGAAGAGTTGCTTAGAAGCAAAAGGATAAAGGAGGTTGAGGAGGAGGAGGAGGGAGAGGAGGAGGAGGAGGAGGAGGAATAGCTGGAGGAGGAGGAGGAGGAGGAGGAGGAGGAGCTCTTCCTCCGCAGGTGCCCGCCGTGCTCCGGGCCCCCCTCAGCGACCCCCCGCCCCGCGGCTCCGCAGAAGCGCCGCGCGCAGCCGCGGATGCGCGCGGCAGCGCACGGCAGACCTGGTGCGACCTGCACCTTGGCGCCCGGCAGAGCCCGGGCGCGCTCGGGCGATGCCAGGAGGTCGCGGACGAGGAGGAGGACGAAGAGGACCGGCAGCGAGCAGAAATCACAGAACCCAGACCCCCTCAAGTCGTGAAAATACACGGCGGGAGGTTGTTTGCTAGTGTCGGCTTCCAGGCACCGAACGGGCCTTGGGACCGTCAGAAGTTCGACCCGGGATGAAGAACCGGCCCTGGGGAAGGGGTCCAGATTGTTGGGGGCCCCGCAATGCACAAAAACAAGACATTGGATCTCTGGGGAGTGTCGGCGGCGAGCAGAAATCTGAGGAGCACGAGGTCACGGAAATGAAGCGTTTCAAGATTTTGAGGATTTCCATGATTTCTGGTTATTTCGCACGGGCCCCAGAGACAAGGGCCGCCACTGAATCAGACGCTCTGGAGATCTTGGAACAAATCCTGAGCCAACTGCATCTTGATGTCGTTCTCGTTCGAGGTTGCCCTCAGCTCATGGCGTCGCAACGAAAGTCGTGGCGGACGGTGTATACTACGGGCCCAGACTAGACAGCCCGCGGACTGATCTCTTCAGTCCCCGCGTTGCCCGTACATTCCTGGCCCTGGGGCCGTTTTTGGTTTCTTGGAGCATCAGACATGTATCTGGGACGAAAAATTAGCCTGGCGAAGGACCCAACCATATGCAGTTGTGAATGCCGCAATTGTGCTGGGTGGTGGCGGACGCATGCGGGCGGTGCCACTGGGACCTTCGGTGGAGCTCCCTATGGGGCCACGAAACGCTGTACTGGGTGGGTGAGACGCGGTCAGCAAGGGCTGTGCTGCGTGGTGGCGGACGCATGCGAGCGGTGCCACTGGGACCTTCGGTGGAGCTCCCTATGGGGCCACGAACGCTGTACTGGGTGGGTGAAACGCAGGCAGGGAGCAAGGGCTGTGCAGGGTGGTGGCGGACGCATGCGGGCGGTGCCGCTGGGACCTTTGGTGGAGCTCCCTATAGGGCTACGAAGCGCTGTTCTGGGTGGGTGAAGCGCAGGGAACAAGGGCTGTGCTGGGTGGTGGCGGACGCAAGCGGGCAGTGCCACTGGGACCTTTGGTGGAGCCCCCTATGGGGCCACGAAACGTGCGAGGGGTGTGCCAGAATGGGGTGTGGAACCGCATGCCAGCGCAGCCACTGGGGCCTTCGGTGGAGCTCCCTATGGAGCCACGAAACGTGTGAGGGGTGTGCCGAAATGGGGGGTGGAACCGCATGCGAGCGCAGCCACTGCGGCGTTCGGTGGAGCTCCCTATGGGGCCACGAGACGTGTGAAGGGCGTGCCGAAAAAAGGGGGTGGAACCGCATGCGAGCGCAGCCACTGGGGCCTTCGGTGGAGCTCCCTATGGGGCCACGAAACGTGTGAGGGGTGTGCCGAAATGGTGGGCGGAACCGCATGCGGGCGCAGCCACTGGGGCCTTCGGTGGAGCTCCCTATGGAGCCACCCACGAAGCGTGTGAGGGGTGTGCCGAAATGAGGGGGTGGGACCGCATGCGAGCGCAGCCACTGGGGCCTTCGGTGGAGCTCCCTATGGGGCCACGAAACGTGTGAAGGGTGTCCCAGAATGGGGGGTGGAACCGCATGCGGGCGCAGCCACTGGGGCCTTCGGTGGAGCTCCCTATGGGGCCACGAAACGTGTGAGGGGTGTGCCAGAATGGTGGGTGGAACCGCATGCAGGCGCAGCCACTGGGGCCTTCGGTGGAGCTCCCTATGGGGCCACGAAACGTGTGAGGGGTGTCCCAGAATGGGGGGTGGAACCGCATGCGGGCGCAGCCACTGGGGCCTTCGGTGGAGCTCCCTATGGGGCCACGAAACGTGTGAGGGGTGTGCCAGAATGGAGGGTGGAACCGCATGCGGGCGCAGCCACTGGGGCCTTCGGTGGAGCTCCCTATGGGGCCACGAAACGTGTGAGGGGTGTGCCAGAATGGGGGGTGGAACCGCATGCGGGCGCAGCCACTGGGGCCTTCGGTGGAGCTCCCTATGGGGCCACGAAACGTCCGCATGCGGGCGCAGCCACTGGGGCCTTCGGTGGAGCTCCCTATGGGGCCACGAAACGTGTGAGGGGTGTGCCAGAATGGGGGGTGGAACCGCATGCGGGCGCAGTCACTGGGGCCTTCGGTGGAGCTCCCTATGGGGCCACGAAACGTGTGAGGGGTGTGCCAGAATGGGGGGTGGAACCGCATGCGGGCGCAGCCACTGGGGCCTTCGGTGGAGCTCCCTATGGGGCCACGAAACGTGTGAGGGGTGTGCCGAATTGTGTGTGGGTGACGCATGCAGGCGGCAGCGCTGGGGCCTTCGGCGGAGCTCCTATGGGGCCACGAAACGTGTGAGGGGTGTGCCGAATTGGATGTGGGTGACGCATGCGGGCGGCAGCACTGGGGCCTTCGGTGGAGTTCCCTATGGAGCCACGAAACGTGTGAGGGGTGTGCCGAAATGGGTGTGGGTGACGCATGCGGGCGCGGGCACTGGGGCCTTCGGTGGAGCTCCCTATGGAGCCACGAAACGTGTGAGGGGTGTGCCGAAATGGGTGTGGGTGACGCATGCGGGCGCGGGCACTGGGGCCTTCGGCGGAGCTCCCTATGGAGCCACGAAACGTGTGAGGGGTGTGCCGAAATGGGTGTGGGTGACGCATGCGGGCGCGGGCACTGAGGCCTTCAGTGGAGCTCCCTATGGAGCCACGAAACGTGTGAGGGGTGTGCCGAAATGGGTGTGGGTGACGCATGCGGGCGCGGGCACTGGGGCCTTCGGTGGAGCTCCCTATGGAGCCACGAAACGGTGTACTGGGTGGGTGAAGAGGAGAGGAGGAGAGGAGGGGAGGAGGAGGAGAGGAGAGGAGAGGAGAGGAGAGGAGAGGAGAGGAGAGGAGAGGAGAGGAGAGGAGAGGAGAGGAGAGGAACGCGGGGCACCGTCTCTTCAAAACGAGGACCCAACACCACAGGATGGTTGGGAATTCAAAGGTCTCCCTGGGGAAAGGGTCGACACCGCTGGGGTCGCAGGATCGCAGCATGAAAAGTCACCTCGCTGGTGATCGAGGCGCTCTGGCCTCCGGAGGCCGCTGCCCGACCCCCGCGACCGTCAAGGAGCAGCCCGGAGGAGAAGCCAGCCCCCGAGAAGGGGTCGAGATCCCCGGGGGCCCACGTCACGAGCAGAGGGGCGGCGTCGGAGGAGGGGGGTGGCCGGAGGGGGAGGGCCTGGAACGAAGACATCGGCTTCTGAGAAGCCCTCGCCCCTCCAAAAAGCATGCTCAGAAGCGGTCGGCCCCTTCCAGGAGGCGTTTGGATGCCCTCGAACACGCTGAGGACGTGTGTTTTGGTCGTGCTGAAGGTCGACGTTCTTGTTTGATCCGTTGTGGATTCCGTTGTTGTTGCGGGTTCAAGTCCATCATCGGCCCGTGGCTTGTTTGCTTGTTTTTGTTGTTGCTCTCGCTGCGTTTCTCATGCGTCTTTAGATCTCACAGTGTCGCCTGTCTGGCACATTATTTTTCTGGGATGCAGTTTTCTTCTCGCGCTTTGGTCGAGCGAAGAGCGAAAAGCGGAAATCGACAAAAATCTAGCGCTTTGTTTTCTAAGAAGACAGCCGCCGCATCCTCATATTATATCCCGTTCAGCGGTCCTCTGGATCTCTCCCGGGGTCCATCCTGGTCGCCGTGAGACTGTTATTGTATGATCTGGCCCGTAAATGTCGTTACTGGGGCCACCCTCCTCGGGTAAAAGACACGATCGTAGATCTTGGGAACGGCCTGGACCCCCCAAAAAACATTTCATACTGTATTGTGGCGATCGCACCTCACTCCGCCCCGACGTGCACCACCCCGCCGAACCGGCACGACCGCTACGCGGAAATAATATGAGTAAGAATAATATTCGCATATAAACAGAAAAAGACACTCACATTACAGATGTGTGCATACATATATATATATATATATATATATACATATAATTCGTTAGATACAAGTATATGTGTATCCAGTGGCCCTGCCGCGCGATTCCGCCACAGCGCTCGGGCAAGCGGGAGGGGATGGCGCCTTGGGTGGGGGCGCGGGAGGGTCCATGAAACCCTCGTCTGGTGAGGAGGCCAAACACGCATGGGTGTGGCCAAACAAATGGACGCATCTTGGCCTTGATGCGTCGGTGGGCGCAAACTACTTCTTCGCAAAAGGCGAACGGGCCCGACGCTCACCAACCGCTGCAAGCGCGATGCGGCTATAAATTGTTTTACGTAGTAATTAAAGACATGCGTACATAATACACACGTATATGTAGATGTACATGTACATGCGTCTTCTATACACTTACATGTGTATGTATATATACACATATGTCTATATACAAGTGGCACATGCGTGCCGAGGCTCATACAGAAAGATCAGCACGTAAGCATCGCAGGAAATTGACGATAACTGGAACATGAAGTCGGACCTGAGGAGGAGGAAACAGTTGGAGAAGCAGTGGAAAACGGAGAGGAGGATAATGATGATCACCAGGGGGTTGGTGGGAAGGAGGTGCTACAGCAGGATCGCGGTCGAATGCAGGTCGAGTTGCCACACCTTGAGACGTGTGTGGCGCAGGAGGGTGTTCCACACCTTTCGATTGCAATTGGAAAGGAGGTCCGAAGCCAATTATTGGAGGATGTCTCAATGTTGGGGGGATGTCTCACGCGAAACGGCCGTTTCTAAGAGCGACGTCCAACGTCATTGAAATCTGTTGTGTTTTTGACGGTTGTGTTCCACTATGTTGTTGGACCGTGATGTCACGATGTGCGTGAGGGGCGCGTCCGATGTTCAGAATGTTGAGGATGTTCCGAGCGAAATTGCCAGGACAATCGCGATTTGGACCGTTTCAATGAATCGCTTCTGAGCCTTGCTCTCTCGGAGAGGTGCGTATGATTATATGTTGAATGTATGTGTACACGTATATGTACACACACAGACGTATGTCTGTGTATATGTGTACGTATGTAGACATCTATAGTTCTAAATAGACATGTATATAGCCACATCTATATACAGTCGGACTGGGGTATAATATCGAGGTCGGTTCGGGGAGGGTGCCCTAATGTTCTTCGTGTTTGTTGGATGCTCTTGTGCATCCTGGGAAGGGTACCCTTAGCTGTTATGTGCGTGTTGGCCGACGGAGGGGCTCATGTTCGTGAAGGATGCTATTCTGGCCTAGGTCCGACTGTGCATGTACACCGAAAATACATGTCTCGAGCCGCGCCCTGCCGTGGCCGTGAGGGCGCTCCCCGAGGAGGCACTCGCATTGAGCGCCCGAGCACGCCATGGAAGCCTGGAGCCCAGCGCCATCCCCCAACTTCTCGAGTGCGGCCCCGGGCTCGGGTTTCGGACATGGTGGCTGGGGCGTCGTTGGTCGGGCCAGTGTGCAAAATTGGTGTGAACCTTCAGAATTTGAAGCCAAAGTCTCTATCCACCACTCTTGAATCCCAAGTGTGGTTAGCGGGACGGGTGTCTTAAGTGAATCGCTTGCATAATCCGCCAACCACCTTGTAGGGTAATTGATCTCAAAATGTTGGTCAGGCTTGTTTGGGAGGCATCTACCTGCGGAGGCAGATAGCACCGCCATTGCACTAACCGCCAAGATGTCTGTTCTAGAACAAGGGATGGCCGTGGCCATGAGATCTACCCGGATGTTCGTTCAACGCGTCCTTTGGTCCCCTTCGTCCGCGCACATGCCTCGGGCCATGTCTTGCAAGCCCCCGTCTTCGACGCCCCCCTCGAGGACGCGCCCGAGTTTCGAAGAACAGCTATCGCCGATGCATTGGCGATGTATCAGCGATGCAGCGCGATCCTCCGACCACATCAACACCGCAATGAATCACGACCAGAGCCATCGACCCCATCTTGCCACGTCATTATTATTCGAGCTGGATCGACCTGTGATGGCCCCAGGGCCCGAAACCGGGCGAAGACGCCCGATGTATACAAAGGTCGCGACGCTTGGATCTCAGGGGCCGTCCACCTCGAGGGACGGCGTTTTCCTTCGGACGCAGGCAGCTTACCTGCGTAGCTTTTTCCCCCCCATCCGCCTCCCTTGCAAGCAGCGATGGGCTGAGAAGGCGTGCGGGTGAGTCCAGACATGCGTGAAGTCCAGAACGTTTCCTTGCGGGCCTCGCCACGCCCTCCCCCCCCCTCCATCCATGCAGCAAGATCTTACGTACCAGAAGACATCAGCACAGACCAAACCCCCCAAACAAGTAATAGTCATAGTGATATGAAAAAATAAACAGAAATAGTAATGATAATAATAAAAAATAACAATTAGAATAATAATAATAAGATCGGTAATAATAGCATCAATAAAAATAATAATCATCACAATAATAATAATAGTAATAATAATAGTAATAAGAATCATAATACACCTGCCTCGGGAGGACTGGGGCCGGCGGCCGCCCGGGCCTGCGCGCGGCGCCGCAAGCCCTCCGCGCGGCGCCCCCGAGGGCGCCGCTGGCGCGCCACGTCGCGCCGGCGAAGTCGCGGGCGCCGCGGGCGGTGGCGCCGCGGGCGGTGGCGCCGCGGCGAGCGCCGCCGGCCGCCGCGCGGCGGGCGCCGGCGCGCCGGGCGCCGAGGCTCAGGCGAGGAGAGGGTACCGATGCCAGTCCTCCTCGAGGGGGTCCCAGACAGCTCGACTGCCCTGGGTTTCTTGATGAGCGTGGGGCGGTACCCCGACGGGGGTCAACCTCGCCTACTTGTCGCGCCGCGACAGGGGTCGGAGCGCCTTCGGCGCGCGGTGGCTGCCCGCGACGGGGGTCGAGGCGGGGCTGTCGGCGGGGGTGACGCCCCCCCCGACGCTTATTCAGAAACTCGGAGTACACGTAAGAATGACCCTTCGCCGGAGTGACCTTTGGTGCGGACCCACTGGGGTCACCCGGTCGCCGAAGGCGAGGCGGCAGTGGCGTCTTGCGCAGTTGTGGTTGGCCCCCCCGCGGCCCCCAAGGAGCCGCGCACCAAAGGTCACTCTTACCCAGGGTTACCCAGACAGACGTCCGGCGTCTCGAAAAAATCGAGACGGATGTTGTTCGCCGTTTTCGATCTCTCGGGACCCTCAGCGGGCCTTGGGATCGTCAAACAACAACTCGCAATGAAAAACCGGTCCTGGGGGTTCTGGGGAAATGGTCGAGAGGTCGGGGGCCCGTGTTTCAAAACATCGAGAGGCTGGATGTCTGAGAAATGTATTGGCCTTTGCGGACCTCCTGGGACGTTCTCGTCGCCACCGCTGTATTCGCATCGATTTGGTCAGATTGCACCCTGAGAGAGGTTCAGAGAGCAGCCGCATCGATATCTTCACGTTTCCCCAGAGGTGCGGCGGCTGCCCAGCCTGGAAGAGGATTGGGGGGGATCGATCCCATTATCGGGTTGTTGAGAGAGTGGTTCTCTTCCACGAGTCCCCGTGAAGTAGGGACCGAGCTTCGAGATTATGTTACGCTTTCGTAAGTTTCTCTAGGTTTTCTGGCCTCGTGGTGCTTTTCAGCAGCTGCGCCATGAAGCAAACGGGTTCTCAGGGAAACGCACCTCAAGCATGTGACCGGTTTTCCCCTGAAGGGGCCCTCTATGGGTCAGGGCGAAAGGTTAGCCCAGGGGGAAGGTCCTGGGGTCTGGGACCCAGTTCCCTCAGGTACTATGGGAATGGATACGGAAAGCAGTGTGACGAAGACCGAAAACCGCACTGCCCATTCTGATCAGGGCTCCTATCGGTGTCGTCGCGGACTTTGTGAGTTTGAAGCCGAAAGTCGTCTGCCCAAGAGCGGCCGCTGCTTGTTTTGGGCAACAGTTGCAGTTGGGCATCGCACCCATCGCTTCCATGCCCATCTCGGACGTGCCAATCACCTCGGGTCGGACTAGAGGGGGGTTAGGGGCTCTGACATTTGAGAGGGGTTGGGAACCAGCACATTTGAGTATGAGTTCAGTCGGCTGCATGCAGCTGGTTTCGGCCCCGCGCCGGGCGCTTTCCTCGATACGTTGGTGCCTCGACCCAGCGCTGGGAGGCGCCGGGAAAATCCGCTACGCGAGCCGATTTGCTACCCCCTTGATATGAATGTTCCCTTTCGATCGACCCAATCACCGTGTACCAGGGGCAACAACATCGGGGGACTGACCCAGCGGGGGAAAGTATCGACCCCCCAATCGCCCATTCCTAGCCGATCTGGGCTTGGCCCACCCTCCTCCCAGGAACGTGCGGTTTTGTTATCGGGAGCCTATCGTCGGCGATGCATCGCCGATTCCGAGTCGGCTACCCAGCTGGAGAAGTATCGGGGGATCTTCTCAGGCGATGGCAAGTCGAGACAGCGTGTTGGAGACTCAGGACGGGCGTTGCTCGCTGTCTTCGGCCCCAGAGGGCCGTTGCCCGGCCACGAGAAGCCAGCGGTGCTGGCGAGTCTCTGACGCCATCTGCTCGGGCCCCATCTGGGAGGCCTCAGGGGCGGCTTGGGAGCCGAAGACGCGCCCATTGTAGGCGCGGCACAAAGACGCATACGGGCACATGAATGCGCACGGGCCTCGACATGCGGCGAGGGACCGTGAACAGGAGGGGGGCCTTGCGGATTGGAGGAGCATATTGGCATAGGAACGCACCCAGCCACCCAGCCCCCCGACGTCGTTTTCTTTCATGGCGTCGACCCCCAGAGGTCTGGACCCCTTCCCCTGGACCACCTGTTCATCCCCAGTCGTTTTTGTCGGTTGTCTTGGGGCCCAGCGAGGGCCCCTGGAGGCCAAAAATTGCCAAACACCGTCCGTCGTAATTTTGTGCACAGCTCGAGAGGTTCCCAGGGAAGCCCCTGAGATGCGCCTGGAAGTCTGGACCCCTTTCTTCGGACAGCTGTTTCACCCCGCCTCATTTTTGGACTGTCCCGAGGGCCCGCCGAGGGCCGAAAACGTTAAAAACTACCTTGGCGAAGGACCCAGCCATATGCAAGTTTGAGCACCACAAGACATAGCAGGTGGGGTGGGACGAAGCAGGGGGACCTCCTGCTGGGGCTACGAAACGGGCGACGGGTGTGTCATAGTGGCGGGGAGCCACATGTAGACGCACCCACTGGGGCATCAGGGCAAGCTGCCTCTGGCCCCACGGAACGTGTGAGGGGTTCGCCAAAAGTGGTGCGGAGCCACACGTGGCCTCACCCCTTGGTGGCTTCGATGGAGTTCCTTGTGGGGCCACGAAACGCGTGAGAGGTGTGCCGAAATTGGCTGGGGGACGCTATGTGTCCCCATCCCCTGGTGGCTTCGGCGGAGCCCCCTATGGGTCCACGACGCGTGTGCGGGGTGTGCCGACATGGTCACGCGGAGAGCAGAGGCAGGGACGCGGAAGAGGGAGGAGGGGGGGAGGAAGGAAGGAGGACGCGGGTCGCTGTCTCTCCAAAACGAGCACCCAGCACCACAGGATGGTTGGGAAACATCGTCTTGACGTTTTCAATACGTTGGAGGTCTGGGTACGTGGCTTGGGGGCGTACGTCCTTGTTGGGGCTCCCTACGGTCAGGATCTTTGGCCTCGCGTGTCGCTCCGCTGGCTCTGGCCCACCACGCTTCGGCACGCTATCCACTCTCCCTGGTCCCGCGGCGTCAACGCCCCGAGCCTTCCCGAGCCTTCCCGAGCCTCCCGCCCCGCGGAGCGGAGCGACACGCTGTCGCCCGTCGCAGCGCACAGCGTGTCGCCGCGGCCGCCGCGGCAACGCGCTGAGCAAAAAGCTCTCACCACCGGCTGCCTCCCGGGGGCTGCGCGGGCCCCGGCTGGCGCTGATCGCGCTCGCGTGGGCGCGCGCGCCCCGCCCCCTCCCTGCCCCCCTTCCCGTCCCGTCGTGTCCTCCCTTCGTCTGTCGTTTTCTCCTTCCGCTGCCACTGCGCTCCTCTTGCGCTGGTAGGCAGCTCACCCTCGGAGGAGCCGGCGGCCGAGGCCGGCGCGGCCGAGGCGCCGCCCCCCGCCGCCCCCGCGGCCCGGCGCAGCGGGGCGGGACCGCTGCCCGCCCCAGCGGCGGCGATGCCCGGGGCGCAGCGGGGCGCCGCCGCGGCCGCTCTGGCGGTCGGCGCAGGCCTTCGCCTCGGGCGCCATGGAGGAGGAGGAGGAGGAGGAGGAGGAGGAGGAGGAGGAGGAGGAGGAGGAGGGGGAGCAGGAGGAGGAG